TAGTTAAATATTGTCATTGGAACAACAAATTTATCTTTACCATCAGATCTGACATATTCTGTACTTAAAAATACTGCAGTTATTCTTGACTTGTAGGTTTCCATTTTCTTTCAAGTTTCAGTGGTGACTATTTTGTGAAGATGACATTAAGTACTGGTATGTGTTAGATAAAGCAGATGAGGTGCAATTATACTGAAAAGATTTTCCTCATCCAAGATATTTGAGGAATTGGAGTCCATTCAGTATTGACACGTGCCTTTGGTAAGCTCCTCCCTTTCTAACTCACATGCAAGCATCCTCAAATATCTGTTATAACATAACCATGTTTAAAAACACAACACTTCCAAAAGCTTTATATTTGTTCCCAGATTTTGCAAACTGGATGGCCAACTGCCAACACTTGGAAGCAGAAAGTACAACATCAATAGAGAAACTGTCTTAGTTTAATAACCTTACAGCTTCCAAAAATAAGAGCAAAACCCCCAAACACACTGTGCCCTGGAACAATGAAAAAAATCATTAAAGCTGTGAAATGAATTTTTCAGACCAACACAATTGAACCTAACTCCCAATGAAAGTACACCAATTTCAGGTCATGTCTTTTTTTTCCCTCATTATCTTACAATATCTTGTCTTGAATGAGATGCTGAGGCCATTAAGACATTAATACAGGTTATTTGAGCAAATGCTGCATATACTTTAACATCTGTTCTATCAAGTTTAGTGATAAAATTTGCCTTCAGGATTTTTATTTGCATTTCCTGTTTTTCCTTCTCAAATTTGCTTTTTGACATTTCTACATTAATTTTAATGTACAAGAAATTCTAATTTATTTTTTTATATATATCTCAGTCAATTCCATTGACAGCCGATAGTGCAGTTTTACAATCAAAATCTCATTAGTTACTTTTTCTGCCTTCTGCTGAATGCAGTCAGGCATCCAATATAAGTCTTCAGAAAAATCTACAAATAATATTTAAGCTGTTATGCTTCATACTTAACTAATTTTGCATTTTGGGGAAATCAGAAAAAAACCATTTTATGCATGAGAGATGCATAGTGATAACCAGATAAAAGGTGTAAACAAATTCTAATTTTTGTTTTCACCACTGACAGACATCACACTGAGCAGACGTGGTACCTGTCCTCACCAACACCAGTTAACCATGGGAATATTTAGCTTGAATAAGCTCTTTGGCTACCCACTTAGCCATTCTTCTATGCGGGAAAATGAGCTCATAAAAACAAAGTTATGTGAAACGCATCAGCTTTCACATCATTATAGAGGAAGTAATAGTTGAGATAGCAGCAGGTATTGGCACAAAAAACAGAATTACAGTAATACTTTTATTAGTGGTTGAACAGATACATATTGTGAGAAAATATAAGTGAGGTAAAAACCTACCACCCAGAACCAAAGGAACACAGAGATAAACCTATGAACAGGGACTACCATCCACTTACTCAAGTTATTTTTGGCTTTCAGAAGAAAAACTATAGCAAAAACCTCCTTCTATTAAACTCCTATTCTCTCCATGCTATTTGTTACATATGGTTGATAAAAATCAAATGAAGACTCAATACCAGAAAAATAGATTAGTGCTCAAAAACGGAAAAAAGGGGGGTGGAGACCAATATAATTTAGGAAAAATGGCACAAGATAAACAATGCACTGCATGCTGACAGCACATTGTATTTTTATTACATAGTCATTTTTCATTGTCATTTAAGTAGATAATTTTTGAGCTTGGAAAGATGAGAGAGAATTCCTGAAGAATTCCTGGATCAATGTTTTGAAAACACAGTAAGAGATTTTAATATTTCAAGTCTGTATACATGTTGTTTGACCTCCCATAGACTAAATATTGAATTTCAAAACTGATAAACATAGCAGAAAACAATCTGGAAACTGCAGCTTGATTAAGAAGAGCAACACAGATTAAAGCAAAAGAGAAAACAATGTGCTGCAGCACTGAACCATGTCAGTTTGCCCAACAGTGATGGCAGAGATTGAAAACGGCCCAGAACTGCAGCACCTGTTGCACTGCAAATTAAACCCCAACACTCCAATTACTTTTTTTTTTTTAAAACACAAAGAGCAAACATTTTCTGAAGCAATCACTACTCCCAAGCCGATTTGAGACACACTGTAAACAGGCTTACATTGACATAATTTATTTTCAAAAATGCTTCACACTATGATGCAATCACAGCAAAGCCCCGAGCCGCCAGACACTCATGGAGAAAGAAAACACAGGAAGAAGTGGGCAGCCATGGCCACCCCACATAGCAGCACACACACACACTCCTGCTTTCTCTGACAATACAGGTGCCACATTTGCAGTATGGCCAAAATCTCCCCTATGACACAGACCTTTGAGCACAATATAGTTTGGGTACACTCTTCCTGGCAGTTGCCCTTCTGCCTTCCTTCTGAGACTAATTACAGTATCACTGGAGCTGCCCCAAGCTAGTCTGTCTCTCACCACATTTGCAATTAACCTTGAAAGGAGACTGGCCTTGCAGCTCTGGGAAAGAATTCCTCTTAAAGGAGAATCAGAGGGATCAATTAGATGTTCAAAGAAGAAACAGAATGAGAAAAAGCCTATCCTGTCCCATTCAAATCATACTTCACTGGATCCATCCAATACATTCACTTGTCATTCTTTTCCTTCTCACCAGTTCTTACACAGATCTGCCTTCTGGATGCTCCTTTCTCAGTACATACCTGTATGTGCACAGAGTGACAGGGCAAGAAAAAGCAGGTGCTTTGGAATTATAAGCTCTCATGCTCCCTCCCAAGGTAAACTCCTGATAACATCCAGAAGTATAGGAAACTTAAGCGGTATTCCTTGCAGAACATCCAAATCAAGTAATACATATGAAGCGGCTCTGTGTTGATTAGAAAACCAACTGCATAAAATGAGAATCTCTCACGCTCACAAAGAATTATTTCAGTGCATTATATACCATATTTAGCTAAACCACAGTTCACAAACAGTAGCAATGAAAACCTATAACCTACGTTAGATCTTAATTATGTTATTCTAGAGTACATGCAGTAACTACGGGGTGACTCTAGAGAAAAAATAAAGTTGTTTGTGTCTCAGTAGATACAGAATTATGAACAAAAAGACAATGGAAAAAAATATATATATAGATTACATTAAGGATACAAGAATAATCTCTGAACAAGAACTAGGAACATGTAATGCATGTAATAGACTATGGCCAGCTAATGGTGTGCACACATAAACAAAAGAATAAAGATATGAAGGGACAAAGAGTAAATGAGCAACTGAGTTGTTTGTATGGCTGCATTTCTTAGACAGTTTAAAAACACCTTGCAAAGAAAATGAAACCTTAGCATAAAAAGGTAAAAACACTTCAGAATTCTCTAAGCACTCATAAGGATTCCTAGATATTTTTTAAAATTTATTTTAAACTAATGAGGTAAAAGTTGAAATAGAAAAATGAAGGGAAAAAATACGAATATGCAAGGAAATTTTTAGAAGTGACTTGAAAAAAATGCTACAGCCACATCATCCTCAGGTATATCATCTGATAAAGCTGTTCCACTTGGGAGGATACATTATTGTGTAACAAAAGGAAAAAGTGTAATTACCTGTTTACTACAGCATTTCAGGTAACTGTAGCAGTTTAGTTTGGTTTAAAAATCTATTCCTATCTGTACTGTGTTTACTGACAGGATTACCTTAAAGACAAATAAACAGAAAAAAATAAAAAATAAAAAAAATCAGGAAAACAGTTCTAAGGACATCAGCAGAGCTGTTTCTGTTTAAAAGCCTTCTCTGCTGAATCCATCTGCTTTGTGAAAAAATGGCATGTATTCTGCTGTAAGTTTGAGGAAGCCTTAGATATTATTCCCCATCTGCAACATAATGTCACCTTGCATTGCTCATGTCCTGTTATGAAACAGAGTGGGACTGACACAACCCAAACTGACTTGACAGAACCTGAGTTGACATCTGTGAAATCCCTAAAAGTAGTTTTCTTACACTGAAGTGATACAAAATGCTTTTTACATCGGTTTATTTTTCAGTACTTAAGGCAAAGAAAAACTATCAAAGAAAATACTTAATTGGCTTCATCTGAGTTTCTTCATTAGGTTTGTTTCTTCAAGATACTCATAGGCAAATTTCTGCTGATTTCATGACATGAATTAGAGCCTGATGATGAATGGTAGAATTAATCCAAGTAGGAGGCTGTACTACTCTTCCTGACAACCAACAGCCAGAGCTACTTAGATAATTTCTGATGTCTCCTCCAAAATCATGATGTTCCAGAAGATTCAGTAAGCAACTTAACAGCTTATTCCCTATCTTACTCTGTTCTACTGTGCTGTTCCCTATTTTTATCATGATTTAGGTCACAGCATTTGCAGTTCTCTGAACATCAATTTAATGCAATGGTCCAGCAAAAAAAAAAACAAAAACAAAAACCAAACCTGTAGCTACTGATTCAGGAAAGAGTCCAGTATTCCCCATCATGTCTAAATTAGGCCTAGTATGCAGCAGAGAAGTCACAATGAAGTGAAGCCTGCAAATGTGTGCATGCACACAAACACAGTATGCTCTTGTAGCAATGACCCAGCCCTATTTGTTTGGATTGTCCAACTGAGAAACTGCCAGAAAGACTGATAAAATGTAGCAGCCAAAGGAAGAGAAGAGAAAGGGGAGAACACTGGCTTATGCTGTGTGCTAAACCTCTTCCTTGGAAGTATATAGTGTGACATAATTGCTCAGGAGAATCTTCATGAACAATTAAGAAATACATCAAATAAAAGCAAACACTTTAATAGGAAACAAGTTAAAAAAGAATAGTAATGAAAGTCAGATACCACAAAGTAAAAAGAAAAACATGGGTAGAAACTGAAGGAGAATGTAGCATTTTGAAGATGAAGAAACTTGCAAGCATACTATTACATTAAAAAATTGCAAGTGTTCTTTCTCCACAATTTTGAGATACATTTACCCAAATATTATTTGAAAATGTTTGACATTCTGAATGTATCAACATAGAACATTTTGTAGGACTCAAACTGAGGAACAGTACTTAATTCAACTTCGTATTCACGATAGAAGTTTAACGGCCTTGCCATCCATCTATTCTTTTGCACTGATATGTCTCAGTATGTTTCATTTAAAACTGCAGCCAGTCATCTGAGATCAGCTTTTTATGTTTAGTTGCTGTTATATTTTTCTTATTCTTGATATGAACCATAAAACTCTGTCATCCTCAATGTATCATATAGCAATATTTCATCTTACTCTTTTGGGCTCCTCTTTATATGGAAAGCCTTGATAAGTTTTTGCTTGGCAGTGTTCTCCAAAACTCCCCTTGCGTATCTAAAAAGGCACAAAACAAATAGATTCATTGAGTAGAATGTATCAGCAGATCACAGTGACTGTTCAACACTCAGATCTGCTGAACATAGATGTTACAATGCTTAGTTCTTAAAGATATTCTGATATCAACCCATAAGATACAACAATCAGGGACCCATCAAGAAATCCATGGTGATATGAGACAGGAAAGTGCACCTGGCATCTCTGCCTGGTAGCTTAGCTGTTCTTGGCATACCACTTCCAGATGTTGTCAGAACTCATTTGCTCTTTATGACACGAAAGCACAAATCTTTGACTCGTACTTTGCACTAGTACTTCTTTTCATGACAGAGTATCAGAAAACAGCATAGAATAAACAAATCAAACAAGATTATTTGTATGGCAGTGGCAATAGAAAGGGGAAAAATTTCAAGCCCAAAAATCCAATCTACCAGCTGAGCTTGGCCTCCAGTTTAAACCAGGAAAGAATAGTTGGAATGACAGAATACTACTTGCTAAACCTTTAATGCCAATTAAACAAATGTCACTGAGGGGAAAAAATAATAAGACAATAAAAGTTATTTTAGACCTACCATTTCCAACAGTGATTCAGACTTCTATTATCCAGATCACCACATGTATTTAGTTTCATCAACTGTGTTGTTTTGAGTATTGTGTTACCATAGTCTATAAAAGCAGTAAAGAATTCTTACATTTTTGGCAACATCCCAAACAACTCCATAGAAGTACATTGCAGCAGAATGACCAGTAAAGACTGGTTCAGATACACACTGCTTCCCATTGAAAGAGTGCTACTGATAGAAAATAGAAATGCACGGCAAAACTATACAGCAAAGGCAAGCTTTTACCTCCCTCTAATAGATGCAATAGGAACTTTTGGAACTTTTCCTAGAGTCATTTTTCTCCATAGTCATCCCGTGCTTTCTGGCAGTCATTGTTCACAAAAATGTTCAACTCACTGAGGTGCTCAGGGATAGCACACCATCATTATACTATTATGAATAGAGTTTAAATGCATGACAGAAAAGCTAAAGGTCACAAAACCAATACAAATTATATCGCAGAAGTGCTTAAATGATATAAGCTAATATCCAGAAAGGGAACATTTCCTACACAATTTTACTTTTTTATTCCTAATAGCATTATTTTGTAATCACTTAGCTTGTGTGGCAAACAAGGTAATTTAAAATTACACTGGATTGCATTACACAGTTAAAAATTACACTATGCACAGAAGCATTACTTACTGAGATCTTGACATACCACTTCAGCTATTGCACTACTAGCAATAGTATGGTATCTGAATTACTTTATACATACCATGAGTATTAGTAAACTTTGGAGTCAATGAGAGGGTATCTCACATTCAAAATCAGCTTTGGGTTGCTTCCACTCTTTCTTGGGAGCTGTCATGCAGCTCTGGCCTGGAGAAGCATTTTCTAGTTCTGTTATTACCTTGTAAAAAAGGTTTTTCTCTCCACGTATATGCTGTAGCAATTGGATTTTGAAAAAGTTTTATCTATTTTATCTATCATTTTCTGTGTTATTAAAAAAAAAAAACTTTTATCAAGTTCTCATCATTATCATATTGCAGAGACATCTTGGTGCTTTTAAATAAAAAAGATCGCTCTATCCTGTTCAGAGCAATCTGAAACATTAAACAAAAAATGAGATTTTAAAACTCGACTGACAGAAGAGGTCTGATTTTTTGCTCTTTAGACAAACGCTGTGACTTAATCAGAAACAGCAGTGGGATTTTGTATTAAGAATACTTCTGGGTTTTGTGCATAGCCTCACTCCTGTTGGCATGACTTCAGTGTGCTCTGTAGCACTTACTGATCATACGCGTTAGATTGAGGCAGGGAAATGGCCACTATAATGATACTTATCAAGCTTGGAAGCGAGATAAGCACCAGGAGGCCCGTAATGCCAAAAGCAGTTTTGGACATGTATAGAGGCAGAGCTTTGAGCTGCACATCAAACTTCATCAGATCTCTTCTTTAACTTCAGTGCTTTCATCGTGCCTAAAGCTCATTTTCTACCTAGAGCTCTTCTTTGATTCCCTAAGTCAAACACTTGCAGGTATTGTAAAAACTAATGTTCATCACAGAAATACAGATGAGAACAATGATAATAAGAGGAATTGAATAAGCACCCTATGCTGGAGAAAGAAAAAAATATTCCCAGAAAATGGAACAAGTGCTGTGAATAGATCTGAAACACAGCCACTGTAACCTTCAAAAAACGTTACTAATTTGCTATGTTCTACACAATGATTCTGCAGCCACTACAACTCTTCCTAGAATTCTATTTTCTTTGTTTTTATTATGCATTATGCATTATCTGAGCTATTCATTCTACATTGGCAGCAGCTTCCTGTTTTATTATGTTGGCCCACAATTTCAGAAGTGAATGGTGGTGGTATGGCAGTAAAAGCTGAACTTTCTCACCAATATTCCATTGCGTTTTGTTGATGTGCAACAGATGGCAGCAGTCTGACAAAATGGCATCTGACATCAAAGTGTGCTGGAAGCAAAGGTATCTCACTGAATTCCTCCGTGATGAAAAGCTCACACCCACAGACATTCACTGACACTTGCTGAATCTGTATGGAGACCAAACAGTGGTGTGAGCACAGTGGTGCAGTGGGTGGAAGCACATTCCAGCAGTGGTGACAGAATCCACATTCTGCAGACCCAATTTTACTGCTTTCTTTTCAGGCCGTTTCTATGCTTAATTCTAAAGGCTATTACTCTACTAAGACAGCTTAAGGGGAAAAAAATAAACTGTTTACATGTAAGCAAATGCATCAGAACGTACTTCTGTGCACTGACACTAAAACTTATTCTTTATCTGTATGTTCTAGAGAATATTCATGCTTCCCTTTAAAGATTTCATCAACAATTGCTATATTATTTATATATCATCTGACTACCAAACAAGATCTCTTCTACAGAGAAAAAAAAAGTCTAAAGTATTTCAATCAGTCTCTTTGCAATATCATTACAGGATTTTATATAGATTAATACTTCCTAGGCTATGTGGCATGCACCATCAAATAATTCTAAATTATTTTTCTGTAAACATTCACAAATACTTGACATGAGAATTATACTGACTTTCCAGCCTGCAATAATATTCTCAACTTTGAATTGCTGATTATTTAAATGGAATTTGCCTGGAAAAAGTTGGTTTTGTTATCTTAAGTTGAGACATGCATCACAGACTCCGAGTAGTAGGTCTTGAATTTAAAACCTCTTTCTCAATTGAAGAGTTCCTCCAACATAATCTAAAGCACAGCAGGCATACTTTTTATCCAAATGACTTGAATCACCCTGGGAAAACATAATGAGGTCCTCCTCAAATGAATTAGATATTTGAAGTTTAGCAAATTCAGAAGTGTTCTTCCATTATCTAGCCTAGAGAGCCAATAGCACTTTCTACTACTACAACTGCTCACCTAAGCAAAAAACAAATTCAGAACCTGCTCTTTGAGTCTCGTTCAATTCCCCTCTGCATAGAAGCATTCATCCAAAAATTGTCAGAAAAAGCTTTACACCTTTTTAAAATACAAGATTCCACACACACACAAAAAGGACAGTACAGAAGATAAGGAGCCCAGAACAGCAAGTAGGTAAGAATAAATCAAATTGCAAGTAAAAGTTAAGAACCTGCAAATGAAAGAGAAAACACTTTTTTTTTTTTTTTTTTTCTTTGAAATTATGCTGGCCAAAGAAATAAATTACTAATACTAGAGAATGAAAAGCTATTTGCTTTGAAGAACGCTCTTCCTCAAGGTTTGCATCTTCTCATCAATTAATCAAGATATATGCTTGTTTCAAACATTGCCACAGCCCACATTTATTTCATCTGAGTTGAAGGCACTAGTTGAAGCAAAGTAGTATTCTTATGTAAGGGAATTAGACTTTTTCCGCTATTTATTGAGAAAGTTAGTTTAACAGTTCCAGATTCTCTATCTTCACTTGTTTACTTCACTCTCTTAGTATTAATCCACTTCCTCAGAGATTACTATGACAACTATTTAAGAATAAAAGCTACAATATTCTGTGCATTTGTCTACACAGTATGAATAAGTCACAGAAAATACAATTGGAGGAACGTATCTTCCATAATGGTTATTCTACCCTGGATTTTCTAAAGCTTCTTGAACTTCCTGTAATGGGAAAGAAACAAGCAAAGAAAACCAAACCTCCAGAAGAAATCATTTACTTTAAGAAGCAATAACTTCTAAAATGAAGGTCTCTCTCTCCCACACAAACTCACTTGAAAGGACATAAAAACTGTGCTACCTAAGTTACCTTAAGCAGCTACCATTGACCTTCCCATGACTGTTGTGCCTTCCCATCTCATCAGTGCTTGCCACAATATTCTTCAGTTAAATTCCAGCCCTCTTGCAGAACCTGCTGGATTTAGACAAATGAGGATGTGCAAGGGCTTGCGGACTCCGTGCCTTTCTCTTATCCTCTCCCAAGACAACCGTCATGGGCAGTATATGCATGCACTGATCACTAGCTATTAAGCATAAAACTTCTCAAATTATTATAGACAACATCTAGCCATAATTCAGCTCAGAAGGAAAGTGACATGTTTGCCAACCACAACATGACAAGTCAAGGGTGTTGGAGCAGTCTTTCAGAAGTCATCCAGCTGAGCAGGTGTCTCCTGGACTTGCCAGCAGTGCTAACATAGACAGTACAGCTCTGTTTGCACAACTGCGAGGTAAGATGCCATGATAAGGTCAGTGCACTGTGCTACTCCAGTGCTGCAAATGAATCAGTATACTGGTAATGATAAACACATGAAAAGTACGTTAATGTGGTTTTATTTAAAACAACATACAAATAATAAAACCTTCAAATTTACTTTTTATGTTACTTTTTATCAATATTATGACTATCAGCACAGAACTTTTGCTTAACTTGAAAAAAGGGCAAAAATCAAGATTTTTACCTACTCAGGAGAGTATGTTATTAGAATCATTTAACAACCAAGTGAATCAGTAGTTACTGCAAAGCAAAAAAGGCTCACTCTTTCCCTTGCAGAAGTAACTTTTCTTGCAGCTAAAGTATTACAACTAGATTCCACAACTTTCTTTATAATACCTTATGTAAACCAACCACTGATATTTTAACACGTTCACATATCTTAAACAAAGAAAAAAAAAAAAGCAACATATCATCGATAAAAGTGAAATGCCATACATGGTATTATGAGCCCCGTACGCACATAACTGGTTAGCTACAAAACCAACTCTGAGCAGCATCAGGCACGCGAAAGAACAGCACTGGTGTATGAGGACCTTAGGAGGCACTTCTTTCAGGCTGCACCGCCCAAGCTCGGCTCTTCAGCTGGGCGAGCAGACACCCATCACAGTGCTACGGAACTCCAATCTCCAACCAAACCGTAACTACTGCCCACTTTGTCGAGCAACACGAAGCTAAAACGCCACCAGAACGAGTACTGTGCTTGTTTTAAGAGAAACACGATAGAAGAACAGTCTAGCAGACAAGACCCTGCAACACCGGTGCTGGGTTCTGCTCGAGGTGGGCGGGAAAGTCGGAGGAGCAGCAGGGCACGCGCCCGCTGCCACGCGCCGCGAGACCCGCGGCTTCGAGAAACCCGAGGAAAACGCCTACAAAACTGACGGTGCTCCAGCTAAGCTGAAGAGTACTGACATTTCCAACTGCCCTCTTCATCAGGGCTTTACAATACGCGGCGGCAGGCACCACTCCTGCCTGAAACGGGAAGCCGCCTTCATGCCCGCTCCCGCCGCAAGGAGCCGCCGCCATTCCGAACGCTCCTCAAAGGATGAGAGAGCCGAGGCGGCCGAGCTGCACTCACATCCACACCCGCTCCCATCAGAGCACTGTGACAATCCCGAGATATTGAAGGCTCCCCTCCTTTTTTATTTTTTATTTTTTCCCCTCTCTAGTCCCTTTTTCAGAACAGCAATACCGTCTCAGATTGCCTCGGGAAACCACGTTAGAGAAGAAAGCGCTTTGTCTCAGTAACCGCCGAGTAAGGGTGTAGAACCAACTAAGCAACTTGAGGCAGCCTAGTTAGCTTCTTCAGGAACTCACAACCTAGAAGAGAATGATAAACCACACCTTTCCTGAGAAGATCTCCCCCACTGGTCGGTTAAGAAGGTGCCCGGAGCATAGGGAAGTCAGGTGGGTGCTGATGAGGTGAAGAGGGGCAGCTGGAGGCAGGCGGGGCCGGGAACGGCTCATAAGGCCCCAGGCAATGGCCGTCAGCTCTGTGGGGGGTGCGGGACCCGTGCTATGTCTTCGTGTTGTAAAGAAAGTTGTTGTTTAAGGAGGAAATAGGTGTGTCTGGCTTATGTCTCACAGTAATTAAAGATGCAAACTGAAAGGAAGAAGTGGTGGAATGCTATTTGCATGATCCGTTTCTTCAGAGAAAGAGCTAATGTTTGTGTTTGTTTGTTTGTTAGAAGTTCGTAGGTAAGAACCTAAAATGTTTAAAGGGCATAAGTGCCCAACTGAAAGTGTTTCATTTAAGTTAAATATCAATATCAGTAGTTTTCATTAGTCTAACTTTTCTCTGAATCAATTATTATTGTTCCTGAGGATTTTGTTACTATGCTGCAATTGTTAAACTTGATGGTAAGTGTCTAGAACACATCTTAATCAAAAGTGTCTCTGTGGTTCTCTAATTTCAGTTGTCATATGCATAAAATTAATTATTGTGGTAATAGTATGAAGGTTGCAAAGTAGTGGAAGACAGCAAATTGGAAATAATTGTATCAGGTTATTTGGGTCTGCATTCAAACCACAGTAAGGGTGACTCTAGTGTGCTGTAATTTTGGATCAAGGATCAGTTAGCGTGGTGTCTTTAATAGTTTTAATGGTTTACATAGTCTATAATTTAAACCATTTAAATTTGTTTGAGCATGTTATCATTCCAAAGCAGGGGAATTATGTTAATAGGATTATTGTTATATTAAAAACTGTGCTAATTTAAGGCTTCTAAGAATACAAATGTACAGCTAAAATGGTATGTTTTTGCTAGTCATGCAGTGGAATGTGACATAAAGTAGGTACTTTGTCATTGCTGGAAACAGAATGGATTGGATGAACAACAGATTGCACATCTTTTCATTAGGGGAGGGGACATACTTGTCAGCATGACAAAGTGGCTCGTAAGAAAGCATTGCTGAATATAAGTACAAAGGGAAAATTGTTACCCGTAGAAATAAAAGGGGGGAGAACTGTAATGTTGATGTATTGTTATTTGCTGAAAACAAAAAATAAAATTGTTACCTACTGCATGGTAAAGACTGCTTTTAATCCTCTATGGCCGATATAATAGAAGCCAACTCTGTTATCTCAAGTAATTGATTGATTTTAAAAAATGTAATGACTCTGTTATCTAAAGAAGAAAGAAAGAAACTGCAGCTGTTAGGTCTATGGGGAGGGGTGAGGTGCTGGGACCTTAGACACCTGCTGCAGAAAGCGGTGCTTTGGAATGCCGTGCCTTTGTTTGCTTAGTGATACCGGCAATTATTTTAAAGAAATGTAGTGTGGGGGAGTATTTTGATATCAAGAAATGAACCTCAAAGTAATATTCATTTTGCATTTATCATTTTAATTTATGTAGGAATTTAATCATTTTTGAGGAATGCATTTATACAAGATACTTCCACAAATTGTAAGCAAACTAAGGAGATTTCGTGTTTGTTCTTTTCCAGGCTTCTGAATGTTTATCTTTGAGCAACTAACCTATTCTAAGGAGTGCTTGCTGCACCAGTGTTAGCAGTGTGTTTTTAAGAACAAGTTACATTTGTATAGCCAGTACGTTCTTGTCTCTGATGCTGCTGGCAAGCATGCCTCAGTTAAGTCACCCACAGGTTAGTTTGGGGTGTCAGGTTGTTAATACTTCAAAGTGTTACTTTTAGCAGAGTTCCTGATCCTAGATTTTGTCTGGTTTGTGTTTGAGGGAATAAAGGAAGAGGAAAATATGTTCTTTATTCATGAAATAATTCATTAATATCTTGATATGTTTTTTTCAGTAGCTCTTTGTCATCATGATGAACTGTCATATACACAAATGCAATTTGGAATACTTGTAATTGGTAACTGCAAAAGCAGTGTTACAGTTATTTTTCTGATGTAGATTTGGAGAGATTTTTAACCTAGAGGAAAACATGATGAAAGTATGAAACTGCTTTTGAACTTCTGGAAAAAAAGGTGGAAATGTGCTTTTATTGTGTTTGAGACTGATTTTCTGAATGGCAGAGTGAAAAAATGTGACATTTGATATTTTGAAAGCAAGTGTTGGATGGAGTACATTTGAAAACATCTGATGTGTCTGCTGTGCTTAATGATAGATACAATTGTTAGTATCTGATGTGAACTGTGTAATCTTCCAGAAACCTCCATTAGCTGTCAGTTTCCCTGGATGGAAAATAGCTTTGATGGAGAAGCTCTTGCTCACAGTACCGCACTGCTGCTTTTCTTCTTACTCTTGATTCTGAGAATAAAAGCAGCTTCTCTGTTACTCATGGGATGTCAGGTTTTATTAAGAGAAGTATGGACAAATAGAATGTGAGAAATGAAATACTGACTATTTTCCCCTCCCTCTTTATTTTGATATCAACTCTTTTATTTCTCCTGTATTTTCATACCACCCCTCTTTCCAAACTTATTTCAAGACTATCTCTTTCCTGCTGCTGCTTTGGATGAATTATGTTGCAGTTGTTAGGCAGATGTAAATCAGTTCATCAGATTGATCTCAGCTCTTTTGAGTGTATTAGCAAGATAGTTTCTATTACCAGGTAGTCTTGAGAGGAACAGTATCTTTCTTCAGGTTATTTTTATTGTTGAATTCAGTACAGTAATTCTCTTGTTAGTTGGGTATTTTGAACTTGATATTTTCTCTAGAGCCCGTGAATGGCACATTTAACCCTTCAATGAAACTTAAAGACAGTTATTTTAAGCAAGTGTCACCTATTTTGTGTCACGTGTGCTTGAACTGATTCTTTCACTTGTAAATATTGATGTCTTTCTCATTGGCAGTTGGGGTGGCTAAGGTCACCTTCACCTAATAGTGAAGGTGAATAAAATTCTGTGTCTATTTTAATATGTGAAAAAATGCATTGTGACTAAAAAGAAAACAGACAAAAAAAAACAACAACCAAAACCTACAGAAACCCACCCACTTCATGTATTTTGTGGTGTATTTGAACATATACAACCCCCCCCATCTCCAAGTTACCAAATTACTGTTCATCTGGAACATTTCTAATAATGTTATTGCAGTTAAACTGCATGTTAATTCAGAACTGTTGTACTCACAGATAGCGTGTGTTCAAGTTTGAGATTGTATCTTTGAGAATAAGGTGCTAGATGGAACCTAGAAACTCATTTTAGATTGAGACTTTTAAGTTGTTAGAGAGCTATTTTGGAAGAAGAAATCTTCACGTTGTGTTTGCATCTGCTGTTGGTACAATTTAAGTACAGCTGAGAGAATGAAGAATGCAGGCTGAGGATGTTCAGACTCTTGTTGAGTCTTGTGATGCTCTATGAGTGTTCAGACAATTTTGCAGGCTCTGAGATCTGGTATCTAATCTTATCTGAATAAACAGAAAGCTGCAACATTAATTATCAAGTTTCTTGTTTCTTTGAGTACAACTTTTGTAGTTAAGCTTGCTCGCTGCTACTTTTACATCTATAGCAACAACTGGATAGATTAGGCAGATAGAAATACTGAGGAAAAGGACATTTAACATAACTTACAGTTGTCTCATTCAAGGTTCTTTAAGGCATTAAAAAATCGAAGTTGGAAAGATGAACAAAGAAAGCATCTGAGCTCTGTTGTTGTAGTGTAAAATGTTGATTACATTTTAAAAAGTTCATGGCTAGTGTATATTTAGTGGATAAGAATTTAATGCAAATTGTATTTTATCAGTAATAGTAGACTGCAATTTCATTGAGCTGTTTATTTGATGTATGAAAACTGGCATTCTTATTGGTTAGTTTTTATCCTTTCGTGGTAAAGTGCTTCAAATGTAATACATTTAATGTTTGCATCTTTGTCATTTCTTTTTTGTGTGTGTGTGGAAGCAGACCTTCAAATCAGTTTGTTGCAACTGCTTTTTAATTTGCAGCCCTTATTGCTGGAGGATTTGAAGAGGCAGCTAAAGGAATAACATGTTTAATGAGGATATCTGAGCGGGCATCTTAGCAAGAGTTATAAATGTCGTGGTACCAGCTTTTTAGGTGATGAGGCCAGGCTCTTTCTGACTATCTTAGAGTGGATAAATCCTTAGTAAATAACATGAGCTATAGCAATAAAATGGCTTGGCATATTGAGGTATACATCAGTGAAGTTAAAATTAATTTAAAAAAAATATAATGATGTTATCTTAGAGAAGAATGTTGTTTCCTTAAAAAGAAAAACAGCACCAAAACAAAGAAAACTTAAACAAAAAAAACTCCACCAACTTTTAGGCTGGCTTTTTTTCTGTTCCATTAGGTACACTCATGTGGCTAGAAATCTTTAAAAAAAGAAAAAGCTGCTGAATTGGAGCCTGGACGGTTAGAATTAGTATTTTCAAACACAGACTGCATACAAAGCAGTATAGAAGAATGTAAGCCCTACTCATAATGCATGCTCGTTTAAAAATGTCAAAACATGCAGAGTCTTTTAAGAGGTTTTTATAAAATTTTCTTCTAATATGTATAATCATTAACAAATGGTACGTAAACCTAAAGTCTTGGAGAAATGTTCTTACAAGCATGACTCCAGGAAAGTTCTTAATGTGACAATGGTATTTAAGAGAACTATTGATTCCAGTGATAAGTGACCATTTAAAACTCAACTTGTTGTGCAGTTGATATGCAGAAAAAAATCTTTGATAATTTTTGATAAAAGGTAAGTGTCTAAAAAGGCAATGTGCAGCATAGTTATTTTGTCTTTAAGGACGTTTCTTTCTATGTGCATGTTCTCCTGACATTGTGCAGAGCTACACTGTGCAGCTGAGGGCTTTTTCAGGGGGAAGAAGCATGTTTACTCTTTCAGTAATATTAAATTAGGCTTGTTTGCAGAGTGCATTAAATTAAGCAGCATGTTTATTTCATCTTCATTACAATATAA